TTTTTAGGCTGGAAACAATCTCATTTTTATAGAATTTTGTATAAAATAATCATTGTTTTTAAAAATTGTGAATTTTTAAGATACATAAACTTGTATAATTTGATGTGATATATGCTTTTAAAATCAATGAATACTTATTTTATGTGGCATTTATGTTAGACTGAACTGTGTCTTTTAGTTTATTTATGATATATTATTTTACTAACCATTCTGTTATTATGAGTTTGAATGTTTGTGATTTTTTTCTTCTTAGAAAGGCTACCTATGAAGTTTCTCATTATAAAGAGCCACTTATAGTTTCAAATACAAGTGATGAAGTAAGTACTTTAAAAGATAATCACAAGTCAGTACATAGTGTATACTCATAATTTTTTAATTCTTGTTATGCCAAGTTATATTTTTAAAGGCTTTACCCAATGTGATTTATAGAAAAGTATTTTCATGAGGTAATTATAACATAATAATCATGTTAAGTTAACACAGCAGTAAGTCTGTGGACTTGAAATGCTAGAAACTGAGTTTTGATACCTGTGGTTGGCACAGCAAAGATAGCCCATTGTGTAGCTTTGTGCATAACTTCAATTTGCAAAGTGACATAAGATGTGACATATAACATACTTACATGTGTAGAGATGTTCTTATCACCAAAGTAACACCTAGAATATAAAAATGAATGGCCTGTAGTATGATATCTATCATAAAATTAATTGCCAGGTATGGGTATTGTGGATATATACACACACATATATAACCCAGATTATTCTTGATATGTCAAGAATGTCTTTTAACTTCTTTAGCCTTGTATCATGTTATTTATCTTCATAATAAGTTTTGACTTATCAGTATTTATTTGAAATAACAAGATATATATATATGTATGTGTGTGTGTGTGCAGTATTTGTTGCTCAGTTCATATATCAATTTTTCTTCATAAATTCTGTCAGATTCATCAGTCTTTATTTGGTTATTATCCCATAAATAGTGTTTTCTTTTAGATATTTTTCATACAATGCCCAATGATTAATATGTATCTTTCACTATACTCTAATAGCCTCAAAATGACTGACAGTTTATTGGTTGTGTTCTGATAATTAAAAAATTGTGTGAGTGAGAAAATTACAAAATGTAGAAGAAAACAAAGAAGGTGGAATTCCAAAACATACTTACCTTCTCTCACACTACAACTATTACTCAACTTCTACAGTTTCTTTCTCAATGCACCCTCTATCTTGATACTGTATATAAACACCTCTTTCAGATACTATTGTCACCTTTTCTCGACAAAGTGTTCCCTAACAGGATTCTTTGTAGTACAAACATTGGAGAAACTTTGAGTGTTCTTTGTGTTACCTATTTGATTTCTGTATATATATAAAAAAAAAAAAAATCGAGGTTTGATGTCACCCATCACTATTCATCCCTGTCGTTATTGGCTTCTTGACTTTCATTGGCTCCTATAAAGGGTCATTGTTCCACCCCTATTCTAGTGTCCTGACATCAGCCCCTTGGTCCATTGGTACCCAGGATAAATTCCACCCATATCTAAGAAGGTCCTCTGCTCAGTCGGAACACCGCCAGCTGTGGCTACCATATACCTTTTGGGTCTGTAGGGGCTCGGCTCTGGGAATTTCTGGACATGAGAAAAACCTTTACCATTATCCCCCAACCTTTAGTGTTTCTGCCTCCTGCAGATCCAAGAATTTCAGAACTTCATTCCACGGCTATCAGAGATTTGTTGCTCAAGGGGCAGTGGAGAGAGTCATACCAGTTCTTCCTGGGTTTTATTCCCGTCTGTTTGTTGTGCACAAGAAGACAGGAGATTGGCGTCTGGTCATTGATCTTTCTCCTCTAAATAAATTCGTAGATCCTCCAAATATCACAATGGAATGAGTCATTCCTCACACTGTGTTGGTAGTTTTTGCCAGGACTGTGGATGATCAAGTTTGATGTTGCCAACGTCTATCTGCACATTCCCATAGTGGAGTCGTCCCACCATTATTTGTGTCTTGTGCACAAGGATCTGGTGCTGCAGTTCAGGGCTCTGCCCTTCAGACTAGTATCGGCTCCATATGTGCTTTGCCTAATTGTACAAAACTTTTCTCATCACCTCCGTTCCCTGGGCCTGTGCACACACCATTCCATATACGTCTGGCTACTGTTGGCACAATCTCTTCAGTTGGCAGAATGTTACACCCAGAAACTGTTTTCTGAAGCAACCAAGGCAGGATTTATTATCAGAGCCATGACATATCTTCTCACTCCAAACCAATACATCATGCATCCATCTGGGTGTCTCTTTCAACATGTATCTCCGTAGGGCTCAGCTGACTCCCATCTGGCTCCATTCTATGGAACAGGCAGTCTGACTCTTACTCATGTCTCATTCTCCCATGGTTCTTTATTATTTGGGGATATGGACATCACTCGAATCCCTCATTCTTTTGGAATGAGTGCACATGAGATACCTTCAGAGGTCTCAATGTGACCAGTGGTTCATAAACAGTGATCCACTGGATTCTCCATCCCCAGTTTCCTTATTCAGGATCAACATCTTTGATCTTGAGTGGTGGTTAAATATGAACACTACCATGATCAGTGTTCCTCTGCTGCCACCTCATCCAGAGCTCCATCTTTACATGGATGCTTCTCTTCAGGGATAGGGTGCATATCTCAACGGTTAGGAAGTCCAGAGCTTATGGAAGGCCGACGAGGCTTCCCTCCACATCAGTGTTTTAGAACTTCTTACTGTTTAAAGGGCAGTGTCTCAAGGTCTGGAATTATTGAGGGGCAACGTCATCATACTTCACTCCAACAATTCTATGTTGGTGTCTTACATTTCCTGTCAATTGGGCATTCGGTCCAGGCCTCTTTGTTTGAGACCCTTGGATCTTCTATATTGGGCCCACTCCCCTCATATCATCCCACTAGACTGCCATGTTCTTGGGGTGATGAATTTGGTGGCAGTTCAGTTGTCTCGACCCTGTGGGATTCTCCTGACAAAATAGATGCTTCATTGAGGGGTTTTCTTTTGGATTTGCCCCCTATTGGCACAGCAGTATGTCTGTGGACTTACAATGCTAGAAACCGGGTTTTGATAGCCCATTTTGTAGTTTTGTGCTTAATTACAAACAAGCAAACTGTTGGATTTGCTCTCGGTTCAGAACACCAATGATTGATGCATTTGCCACTCATTGGAACACTCAACTACCAGCATTTTGGTCTCTGGTACCTCACCCTCAGACCTTGGTAATAGATACATTCAATCAGGACTGGACTGGATTGCACCTATATGCCTATCTACCTATTCATCTGTTACCCAGGATCCTAGCAAGGATGTGTTCAACCCCTGATTGCATTCTGTCGGTACCACCAGATTAGCCAGCTCAACCCTGTTTTCTGTATCTGTGATACCTTCAGTAGTGCCCATCTCTTCCACTTCCTCTTTGGCCATCTGTTAAGGCAGCCACAATCCGATATCTTATACCCATCCAGCTTCATGTGTGGAGACTATGCAGTTCTTTGCATGGCATTGGGGCTTAACTTCTAAGGTTCCCATTTACCCGTCCCAGTCTTTGCATCTTCCTATGATGGACATTTGTCAACAGAATGGCACATATATCAACAATGGTGTATTATTAGAAGATGGAACCCAGTTCATCCAGTTGTGCCAACCATAGTTCGGTTTTTAACTGGCTCTTTAACAAGGGTTTCTCATCTTCTATAACTCCCCTATGTCAGGCAGACTTACCGGGTACCTTTAGATACATGAAAAGATGGAGTTCCCAGTGCTCTCCAGCCTTCTCAAGTTGCTTCAGGTCCTTTGTCCCAAATGACCATTTCAGTTACCTAATTTGGATATATAGGTGGTGTTACATGCTTTATCTCTATACTCTTTTTTTTTTTAGTTTGAGCCCTTAGCCTCATGTACTTTGTATAATCTTTCCCTTAAGGTTTATTTTTTTGTTGCTGCTGGACTACAGACATCGCTGGTCAGAATTATTTATGCTGCAAGTGCACAGGATGCTTTATCATTCTATACCATGTCCTTCTTACCTCAGACATTGGCAACCAGGGAAGGGAATGAATCCTTTTCACCGATTCATCTGTCCACTATTTCTCACCTCTATGACATAATTGTATCCTGATTGTCTGTTATGTCCAGTGGGGGCCTTGAATTGTTATGTTGCTCTCACTAAAGCTTTTAGAGGGCTAGACAATGGTTCTTTATTCATTGTGACTCTTCCATTTCCCGGTTATCCCCGGTTACCTTACAAAAATTGATCCATATTGCTTATTTTGAACTCCCTTTGGACGTGAGGAGATTTCTGCAAGTCATGTCTCATCAAATTCGTCACCTTTATATGTCCTTTGAGGCCCAGTTGAATTGGCTGCTGGAGGAAATTGTGTGGGTTGGTATATTGATCTTCCCCAATACTTTTATCTCACATTATTTGCATGATCTGGCAATATCTTCCTCTGAGGGTTTCTTGTTTCATTTTTCCTTTCCAGAAACCCTTATCTCTCTTTCACAGAATCCCATTCTGTGGCAAGTGTTGCCCAATCATGTGTGCTTTTATCCAACCAAATCTGCACTAGCAACCACTAACACAATATACTTTATCTATGTTGCAACAGGCTCTGTAGAATTGAGGTGTTCCATAAGACCATCTAGAGGCAGACCAGGTGGTATTACTGTACTGTGCTGGACCACCACACATGGGTTATCATGAGTAAAGCATAAGGGGATCCTTTTAAAATTTAGGGAACCTCGTCATCTATTGCACTGTTTCCAGATCATTGTTTCTCAGCACTTCCTATCACAAAGAACAAAGAATGCATTGTTCGAAAAGATAATCTTAACCTAAAAAAAGAACAAAGAAAGGCACAAATACACAAACAGAAAATAAAAGTACTTGTAGGTTTGACAGTTTATCAACTGTATTGTTATGGAAAAACTGGCAGCAAGTATCTGTATGCATCATAATTTAGTTAGTGTTGTGATGTGAAACAGATAAACTCATCAGTATTTTGTTATAAGTTCTGTATGTTTAACAGATTTTGTTCAAGATACTTTTCCATTTGAGTGAATTTTGCTGTTTATTTTATGATTCTATTTGAATTGTATTTGATTACCATTCAGTATTCATGATTTTGTTTATATATGTTTTAAGAAACAGACACCTCCGCTATTTTTATCTTATTCTTGCAATGTTTGTTAGTTTGTATGATTTTGTTTCATCCTGTTTTGTTTAATTACAGTTTTTATTACATGTATTTAATATCTCATAGTTTGTTTTATTTTAATCTGGTCTTGTTTCATTGTAATTCTGATTTATCCTGATTTTATTTTTGAGTGTAATTTTTGTTTTCATTTCTTTATATTTAACAGGCTGATGAACTTTTACTGTTTATTAAATTACTCTTTGTTGTGGTGTCGTGTGTGATTTAAAGAGATTATTGCTAGAAGTTATAACATTTTTAGTTAATTCTAGTTTGGCTTTTAATATACAATACCTCCATATAATACTTTCCAGGTCAATAATCACACTCAGCTTTATAACTTAAAGTTTTAAAACCCAAGTTAAATCCTTTGTTTCCATGCACATGTTGTTTAAGCATTGTGTTCTTTGAGTAATTGATCCATTCATACTGTACAACATTCATGAATGACTATGCAATGTTTATATTTATTTTTAAGACCATACACACATATATATTTATTTATATACATATATTTCCATTACATATTCTCACATACTCAAGCAGCCTATTACAGACCAGACTGCCTCTAGTTCTTATGAAAATTACTTTTGTATGTTTATTGGGTTATTTGTTGAAGTTACAACGTGGTATTTGAGTTACATAATAAGCTACATTTATAAACTGTGAAACTCAACTCATTTTTTTGTTTCAAACATCAGCCAAACTAAGACTTTTGAGCTAAAATTCTCATAGGATTAATATTTGTGCTGTTACTATTGTATATCAACATACACTCAGAGGAAACAACTTGTGTACTAATGTAGAATCCTTATACATTCACCTAATGTATGGATGAGAATCAAGTGAGCAACAGGTGTCATGCTATATATAATTCTTGCCACTAAGCTAAATCAAGTGAGTGATTCACTCCAAATGTTTATTTTATTTTGTTGCACAGCAAAAAGCACCCAAGTTAGATCATGGTCCTTCAGTTTGTCTTCCCAGAGCTCCTAAAATGTTAATCATGGCATTCATCCATTAATTGAATCTACTTCAGTATGGATTGTTATTGCTTTAGTTGAAATGGCTTTAATTACCAGAGGGTGGTGAAGACCAGGACATTCCATGAAGGAACAATATCTCACTATGCTGCAAGACAGTCCATTCAGGTATCAGATTTATGGGCCTTTGAGGTGTTATGATAAAGCCATATTCTTGTGATGTTGTTATCCAATGTGCTATTATTCCTCCCATATTTCCAAAGTTAATTAATTATTTCAGTAAAGCATGGTCCATCCAGACAGTGAAACTTCTACCATATAAGTAATGGTGATAGTGTTTTAAAAAGACTACATCTGCAAGCAGTTTCTTTGTCATACAGTATCTACATTCAGGAGCCATAAATGTATGATTAGGTACATGGTTACACTTTCTTCCCTGTCCTACAACTGCAATTCAATTATCACTAATGTTGGTGACTAATAGGAGCTTGCTGCCTTGTCATGGATATGATGGCACTGGAGACTCACTAAATCTAGCTTTAGGGATCAGTATGCTTGTGAATGTTGGTTGCTACATCCAAAATGCATCTTAATTATAGTGAGAGGAGACAATGGAGCCACTACTCCTTTGATCACAAGTTGAAACTAGTCTCTTACTGCTGCTGTAGTAATGTCTGAAGAAACTTCATTTCTACCTATGATATGACTAAGAAATTCTACTTCTGAGTACATGAGCACACAATTTCCTAGTTTTGAGCCAGCTTTCTTTATCTGTTGAAATACCATTCTAATGTTCTCAGCCACAGGCATCCCATTCCAGCCCCTTCAATTAAGCTCAATCAGACTCTCAAAAGTGGCAGACACATTACACGGATTAAATGGCATTATGTAAAACTCATGAAAGCAATCTTTCATGATAATTGCAGTCTTACATTTGCTCTTTTCATCCAAGTGGACTTGCCAGTATCCACATGTTAAATCTAAAGGGTTGAACCAACAGCAACCTTCCAACACATCTAAAAATGTATCTGTTTGTAGTAAAGGGAAGGCATCAATACAAGTTACCATGTTTACTGATGTAAAATAACACAGAACCTTATCATAATTCCTTTCTCCTGACAATAAATATTGGAGATGACCAGGGTAATGTGATCCTATCTGTCAAAATTCACTCTCAGTGTTGTTCATGTCCCTCATACTGCAAGGAAGGTGGCACAATAGTTCCTTGATTGGACCTGAACTGGCTTTATGTATGCGGTAACGAGTCAGTGTTATTTGATCCACTTGGCCATATAGTTCCAGAAATATATTTGCATACTCAACCAAAAAGTTATGGAATTGTTTTCACTATGTTGGATTCAGATTATATGTCCAATCCTCAACCATTAATCTCAGATTGTTGGTAGCATCTTATTTGTTTTTGGATCTGGTGGGACAGATACAGTTCTCTTTTTACTGTTAGCCTTGGTTATTTCCACTGTGTTTATACTATACCTATATCCATTCCTGCAGACAGCTGGATGGACAATCATGCATAAACACTTAGACTTTATCCCTGTTCAGACAGATAACTGCCTCAACTATTGACAGGAAGTAGTTCATTTCATGTGTAGACCGTATAATGATATTACATGGCACCTTAAGTGAGTAATCAGTCTTTGGTGCAAGATGACAGAGTGGCTAGTTGCTCTCAGCAGCTCACCTATGCTCTTTTTTGACCCCATGTTTTTTGTTATTCACGATCAGCCTGTAAAGGATATCTCTTAGGTTGGAGATGTTCTTTTCTATAGTAGAAGTTCTACCATATAGTTTGAAGTCTTTTCTGGTTTATGCTTGCTGTCTCACCTCCCAAAGAAACAGTTCTAACTAACAGACTTTGTTTATCAGTAGCACAATCAGTCCTTCTCTGGTGGTCTTGAGTAGAACTAGGATTGAATTACTCTGGTGAGTAACAACCTTAAAGTCCTGTAGAGACCACCCATCCTGTCTCAGACTCACCAGATGCCATTCCACCTTGGTGACTTTAGTCATATGTGCTTCCCTTGTGCCAAGATTTATGTCCTATTTTGATTCTTCTTGAGTCTGCAGCTCTAAAAAGACAAAGTCATAGACATTTGTAAAAAAGTGAAATGCCATCTAGGAGAATACTTCTCATTGACCAGACAGTTTTCTCATATAACCATTTCAATTCAATAGCTAATTCTCTCTCTCTTGGTCATGAGTTTGTTTACTTGAAGAAAATGCTTTTCTTTAAGTCAGAAGTGTTCTTTTAAATTCTGTAACCCAAGAGTTCAACTAAGGGCAATACCCATGATAGTAACAGAAAATTTTGCAATAGTATCCTGTAATCATGGTGTGACATGCAGGCATAGCATATGTTTTCTAACGTTTTTAGTGTCATAGACATTTAAAAAAATGTTCAGTTATTTAGTTTCTATGCTATAATAGCAGCAAAACATGGTCTATAACATTCCTAAGATTACCTTGTTCTAGTTGCTTCATTTTTTGTTTTCTGTAGTAGGTAGTCTCTCTTCTGTCAGCAGGAGTATTGCAGTAATATAAATACCCTAAGGTTAAAAGGATTGGCACTGGAATATCCTTTGCTGACTGATTATGACATTGACTGAATGCTATGATGGAACAAAGGTCACAAGGTAATGATATTAATTTGAAGAAGGCAAGTTTATTTGTTGATTTCAGGTGCATTTATTTTGTTCAGATCTAGTTGTTTTTCATTGTGACTGGCTCAACAGGTTCATGTTGAGAGATGGAAAACTGACAAGCTATTCATTGATCCAGTAGAAGGAATTAATTGCCTTCTTGTCTGTGCAGATACACACACTGCTATTATTTGTTGTCTCTAAATAAAGATTGTTTTCAATGTCCTCTGAATGTGTCCAATGTGTTTATTTCTCACACAACTGAAAATACAGTCAAGTTATCAACTACAAAACACTCCACTTATTTCTTGATTGCATCTGCTGTTATTGTAGGTTTTATCTCTCAGGAGATCTGTTTTACCACAAAATACTACAATGACACTAAAGTTTCTCCTTCCTACCTACTCTGTGGCATCTTTAGGTAAATCTGATTTCCTCAAAGAATATTTGGTTTGTCTACTACATAATGGGAGAATTAGCAGGATATATTACAAAGTGATACTGAATTTAGCTCCAACTAATTGTTTGTCTCTGTTTCTGTGTCATCGAAAACAAAAGAAGGGAAAGAAGTTATATGAAAAAAAAGGTTAATGTTGAATAGATGTTTTAATGTTCACAATGTTTTATGCAGGGATGCCATTTCTCTAGTGATTTTAAACTTAAAATAGATCAAAATGGATTGTCAAAGTGAATCAGAAAAGCAAATTCCACTTCTTTGGCCCCCCAGTGGCACAGCGGTATGTCTGCGGAGTTACAATGTTAGAAGCCAGGTTTTGATACCTGTGGTGGACAGAGCACAGATAGCCCATTGTGTAGCTTTATGCATAAATTCAAAACAAACAAACAAACAAACATCCACTTCTTTGAAAATCCCAGTTTATCCACTGGAGAAATGGTGTTCTTTAATCAGTCAGTCATTTTAGAACAATATTAATATAAAGGAATAAATTAAGCAAAATATGTGGTTATAATAAAATATAACTATTGATATTTCAGAAAATAGCACTGCTATTATACGAGCCATTTTTTAAGAAATCAGTTTCTTTGGAATTTATAAGGTAAGTTTTTGTTTTATACACCACTACAAAATTTTTTGTTAGTTCACAAGTAATGCTTGACTTATTTGGCAAATCCATGATAGTATAGTTGTTATAAGAATGTTAAATAACAATAAACGTTCATTTGTTTCTAACTAACCTTATATCTTATAAACAATATGATCCCTTCCATAAACAACTAAATTAGGAGTTTTTAGTCATAATAATCATAACATAAACACATGAAGACAGTGTCTTTGTATTACAATTAAGTCCGTTTCCAGATTGCATATAAGCAAGACCAGGATTCCAATACTGGTGAACTATATAAACAAGACCAGGATTCTAATATTGTGAACTTTATAAACAAGATCAGGATTCTAATACTGGTGAACATATCACTCACTGTTATCACATTATATCCTATCTATCTGGTAATGTCTTCATGTTTTTGATTAAAAAATTTTTATACACAATTAGTAGATACATATGTAATACTAAAGACACTGTCTTTATGTGTTTATGTTATGATTAATATGACTAAAAACTCCTAATTTAGTTGTTTATGGAAGGGATCATATTGTTTATTTAAATTCAATGGATTTTCTTTCAATAAATTTTACTAAAATCAGCACCCAAGGTGGAATACTATGTGTACATTTTTCAAATGACATCTGTCAACTAAAGTGTTTTAAGTGCTTTCGTTATGACATCTGTGGAAAATTGCAACCTAAGTAGAACATCATTTTGGATTGATTAGTGAACAATTTACTTTCTTTGCTGAAATTAAAACAAAAAAAGTTGTAAATATCCTTTTGAAAATGTTTTTTAGTTCTACCATCTGTTTATCCAAACATTTATCCACTGATAAAACTTCAGAAATTTAATTTTTCAGATTTATTCTCACTAAAATGATAAAGATCTTATACGAGTCTTATTGTGGATGCAGAGATTTCCAGAAAACGTGTCTTTCAAATAGCTTACTGATTAGCAATGTTGGTTTTCATCAAATTGAAAAATAGGTAGCTAAAATACTTGTTATGTACAAGAGAATAAATTTATGGACGTTTTGTAATTGTTAACATCATTAACTTTCTCAGGTTTCTAAAAGCATAAATATCAATTTCTATGTAATTTTTTTTTCCAGAATGAATACTTTAAAAGTCGTTCTTTTGATTAACAATAAAGAGCTTATGGTTTACCAACATCATCCAAGATATCAGGTAATTTTTTACAATGAAATAACAAACTTTACAACTGAAAATATTGTGTAACTTCAGTAATAAGTATTATGACTTAGCATATGACATTTTTCAAAGATAAAGTGATTTACAGTAGCTAAGCATGCCACGAAATTGTTTAAAATGTCTATTATCAGGATTTAAATGTTAACATTTCTTGAATAAGAAAGAAAAGGCTGACCGTGACAAAAGATATCCGATTAGTTTCAATTTTGCTTTCAGTTGTTAAAGAGTACAGAAACACTAGTCACATATCCTGAGTGTTCATTTTCATGTACTTATTCATTTCTACTGTATATAGGATGTGGAGCTGTTCAGTTACATTGGTGGATATCTTGGAATTTGGCTTGGTATCTCACTGGCAAACATACTGGATGTGATCATTCAATCTGCCATTAAAGTGAAAAACTGGTTCATAAATCTAAAAGGACAATCATCAAAGGCTATAGAACCAATTGAACAAACTGTGGCTACTATTGATGTGGTGGAAAAAATAACACAAGTTGAAGACAAGATGTATTAGTCTCTTCTAGAATTTTAACTTGTAAAATGCACACTGAATTTTTGTTGTTGTTTTTTTGTGTAAAGAGAATATTTGAAATCATATATTGATCCAAATGCAGTATTATTATTATAAAGTGCACCATATGCTACTCACCCAACTTGGTATCAACTTGATGATAGTTACGTTGTGGAGCTATAGATGTATTATTTTGTACTTTCACAGACACAATTTTTTGGGCCCTTGTAGTATCTTATGTAAATCTTTCATACTAATAAGTTTAATGTGTGCCCAAATGTAGAATTTGTTTTTATTAAAAAAACGCTTTCTTTGAGTAAATATTTTAAATGATTGGTGTATATAAATATCATGAAACTGTTTTCCGTCTGTCTTTTATTATTTTGTTGACTTCTGACATTGTAATATTTTATGAAAATTAATAATATTTTATAGAACTTCACATTATATTCTGTAAATGATTAAATCTATAGACACATTGCTGTAATGATTCTTACTCACGTAGAAACTCCATAGGCCACTTTTTTATATTTATATATAGAGAAAGAATTTCTAATTGCATTGAATGTACTTTCATAAATCTCTATCTCTCTTTTTTACATTTTTTTGAAGGAAGGATAGGGTCTTGAGATTCTTTTTGGATTATCAGCTTCTGTGTAATATATTCATGCTGGTATCTAGCTTGGTATTGAAATTAGACTAGAGAACAGTTTGCATATGTTACTACCATTGTTCTTTGTGTACCCACAACTAGGAGATGAGGTCGTAGCCATACGTGTTTCCTTGGGTTGTGCCATCACTGTTTGTTCTCTCTACCTGTCTCCTGCAAAGACTTATGATCAATCGGATAACATAATATTACCCTGTTAGAAGTGGAACTGAATTTTATCTAAAATAATTAGTAATAGAGATACATCAGAAGTAAGATTATTCTTTTGATTGAGGAGCGAGTGGGATTCAAGATGGCAGTATCCTATAGTAACAGGCAAGTGATCCAGTTGAACAAATTAAGACTTTAGCCGATAGCAGATCTAACTTGCATCCTAAAGTACAGTGAAAAGAACCATGTCCTTTACTCCTTCACCACATACACACAATCTTTGTATATCTAGATAATGAACTGACCTACTTGAACAACATTTGAAACATGTTTGGTTAAATCAAGTTTAAGACTAAAGCCAAACATTCATTTGGTACCTTATGAGGTACCCAAATTACTTTATTTCTCACAGAGTAAACATATAAAAGTCCACTGTACTCCTCATTGATAACAGAAGTGGATTGGAAGGTGTAACACAGTTTATCACTACTAAATATAAATCACAATACTCTGATGGACATAAAAATAATGTCCATACATATCCAAAATATAGATGGAAGTTTTATTCATCAGTACCAAATAGTCTTTTCTTCCATCATTGATTCCAAGTATAAATGTTTTCAACATCCCCCTATCTGTTCTTCAGAATAACCTTTTTTTTCCTAGTAATATGGTAATTATGGATACATTTCTTTGTTTGTTTTTGTAATAGTGAGAGGAAACACAAAAGTACATATTCAAACAGTCTTGATGAGGTAGGCTTCACCATGGAAAAGAACATTTTATGTAAAGTAATGAATAAGTGTAGTTTTATGATTGCCTTTATGTGGTGTGCTTAGGAAATACAAATCATGTATTGGAGAAAGACCATCTAGAATAAACTATCTGATCTGTTGTTAAAAGGCATTGCCATATTGGATTTTGTTTTTCTCAAGACAACTAACTCCAAGTCAAAATTACTTCTTCTGGTGAATTATTATCTCAGTTACAGTCAATAGATCGTAATATCCTATTAACTAACTTTCAATATTTTTTAAAACAAACAACCTTAGAACTTCTACATGTATGATTCCTTTCTGGAAAGAAATTCTCTGTGCATTATTCTTCATAAATATATGTATTTTTCCAGTTATTGTTGGATTAATTTGTGAAATTAATTTTCCAGAGTCACGTGTAAGTTTACTCAACAAATATTTTTGTTACTGAGTGGAAGTTTATGAGGATATATATACATAATAGTATAAAAAATGCATAACATAATTAGTAGAAGTATTTATAATGAAACAGAATGCTGTTTTGCTGTATCACTATAAAGATATAATATTATGTGTTGTGTGAAGTTTGTTTTTTATTGTACAAAGTGACTTAATGTCTTTTGTACAGAGTTGTGTTTTAAAGATGTTTTAGGCTAGAAAGTATGATGTAACATATATATATATATATAAACATTTTGGTGTGTTATATTGTCTGTGAGGCAACAGAGCATATTTATTGACATTGCAGTGAATATATTAAAATGTTTGGAAGCATTATGCTGTTGTGTTTTACTCAATATTCATACATATGTTTAAATGCATAGGTTTTAAAAACACCATAAAGAGGAATTCACTAATGAGCATTGAGAGTGTGAAAAATGTCATAAAGACCTACACAGTCCTCCTCTTGAGCCATTTTTTTTACGTAAAAATTAAATCATACAATTGGATCTTGCTGTGAGTAAACATTCTAAGTTCATAATTATGCTTTAATTGAAAAAGATAGTTTTACAAGTAAGTGATTCAAAAATTACACAGGTGTACAAAGTAATACAATAATTTTGTTTATATAAATGATATTCAAAATAATAAGAGTGAATCAACAATGTGACTGAACTAGAAGTTAACTTCCAATATCGTAATTGATGTTCAGCACTCAGTAACAGTATAGAAGATTATAGATATTTTTCTCATGTTATCCATACAACAATCACAAAACAAGTTTGGAATGTTGTTCTGGTGAGCTGTTTTAAATTAGGTATTATTATACTTGAACCTTATGGGGGTGGGTGGGTGGTCTTCAACTTTACCATTTGTTATATACAAGTAATATTTTACCCCCTTATTCTCACAGTATCGTCTTTCTCTTTTCAAAATATTATATTAAATACTTTTTCAGTCCACTGATTTTCTCTCAGCATATACTCTTGAAAGTTGTCACAACTGTGACCTCTAATTAATCAACCACTCAACATGATAATTAGTAAGACCTAGATGGGCTTGCTTTAGGAACTTTGCATGTATTCACACAAACCTCTGTTATATGATGTATTTCATTCCTGTATACGTATTTTTAGTTGGTAATAAATGATTAAAATTCAGAGTGACTGATACCCAGTTATATGGCAGAACGCAAGGCAACTGAATGGTAAGACCATCACATAGATATATATCAGGCTAGTAGAGGGGGTCAAGATAAACAAGCTGATAAGTTTACAAGAGAAAATCTTATATTAAATTCACAACAATTCTACCTGCAGGATATCGACCTTCTCTGCACTAAGAAAATTAAAATGGCAACCACTCAGTGTAAATAATACTGTTGAAAACAATATACCGTATGGTGCAGCAAATTATGTGAAATCACTTGGATACTATACAGCCAAAAAGTCACCATAACATCAGTGAACAAACTTTCTTCTACTTCCTGTGAGGTAGCAACCAACACATAAGATGTCATTGTCTGCCACCTGGTACTCAACTCAACTATGGCTCAGCCGGACTCTCTAAGAAAGATAATGTAAATTAATTCATTATGGCACAACAGGAGTGTCTAGATAAGATGCCTTGTTACCATTTCATTGTGGCTCAACCCAAGTTTCTAGATCAGATATCTTGTAGCTAACTCACCATAGTCCACCCCAGGTTTCTATGGCAGATATTTTGTGATTGTTTCATTGTAGTGTAAGCCCAGTTACTAGGTCATGTGCTTCTTTGTGTTCTAATTGATCAGTCTCTTGAGCCATCCAAGTAATATGCTATTGCTAGTGGCAGGACAAATAGGATTTTAGGTTATTTCTTCAAAAATATTTAATACAAGTCTAAAAAGGGTATAATTTTAATGTATAGGTGATTGGTTAGGCCAATTTGGAGAATTTTTTTCAGTCTTCGGCTCCTCAACTCTGGAAGAACACTGAATTGTTGGAAAGGGCTACTAGGATGATACCTGGAGGGGCTGTCATATGAAGAGAGGTTAAGATCTCTGAATTTGTTTTCCCTTGAAAAAAGAAGAGTTATAGGGTATCTGATTGAGATATTTAAGATTGGTAAGGGAATTAATAATGTTGATGCATTATCTTTTTTTTCATATCTAATGGTGAGGACAATAGGACTAAGGTACACAAGTATAAATTTTGAAAGTGTAAAAGTCGTCTTTAACTAAGACAGTTTTATTTTTCTCATAGGGTAGTTGGCCTTCTGAACAGGTTGCTCTTTGGATGTGGTGGATGCAGTTAATTTAGGGAGTTTAAGGGAAAGCTTAATAAATATTTGGATGATAAAGACTAACTTAGAGTTTTTTGTTGTTTTTGGTTTAGTTTGTCGATAGAACAGCCTAGATAACCAAAATATCCCATTTTATTCTCTAATATTTTGTAATATGGAGGCATACTCTGCATTTCATACCTTCTTAATTCAATTAAGAATTTTTTCTAAATTAATTATTTATTCTGAATCTGTGCAGTTTGCCATAACATATGATCCAGAAAACCATTAAGTCCATTTGTTTCAGCTGCCTTTGTTGTTTCCTAGAAATAATACCTGTTTCACCTGGGGATATTGTCTGTATCAGCTGTTGTGCATGACTTTGGTGAAAAAGATCGTAGATTATATCAGCTTAAACTCTAATTTTTCTTGTAACAAACATATAATGAAAACATCTAATGCATGCAGATATGTACAACTATAACATGGCATGTACAAAAAATGGTGTATATACATAGTACATTTACTAACTTCATATAAAGTTACAAAAGATCAGGTAAAACAGCTTATATACACCTCTGTGCATATAAGGTGACAAAGCATAGTACTGTAAAAGCTTACATACTTAAGTTACAAATTTTCACTAGATTCTCTTGATATCTTGGAAACAAATCCACTAGTTGACAAGCTATTACAATGACATGGACTTATTATGTACTATTTCATTGCAAGATGTTAAGAAAACTATGCTGTCCAGATGTTGAATGAAGAACTACTGAATCTCCCAAATTAGCTGTTGTAACTAAGCAGATCGACCTGTGTCTGACTGTCATGAATATTTCAAGTCTGTGATTGGAGGTAAAGTTACAACTTAACATCCTGTTATACTACAATATGAAATCTATATTTGTAACATTTTTTACAATTAATTAATTTGTAGCAAAGCTTTGACATACACATACATAACTTTTTGTCACAAAGACAGTTTTTAAGTACCACCATCCTCATCACAATAATGTACTTTTAAACTCTGCATATACATGCACAGAAATAATATTTTATTTCAGACAATGAAACTACATTTATATACCTACAAGACACTATTTACACTAACTATACTTGTACTACCAGTGTATTTTTCTCATAAGGTACATAACAAGATGGTCAGGATGTTTATTTAGTGATAATCCAAAACATATGCCATCGTTTACGTCTGTGATTGAACACTTCGAGACTAAGTAGAAGGCTGATGGAATAGCCAAGACTGTGTAGAAGCAATATATACAGTTAATGGTTTTAACACACATAATAGTTGAGACAGTGTATAAACCGATTAGAACAGCAATATCAGCTTGGTTTAACTGAGTGAATAGAATCTACAGTTTGTAAATTATAGATCTCTTGTGTAACATGTACAGACACACTTACTGCTATCAGTGTATTCAGGTCTGTGACCATGGGAGGAAGCTATGTCCATCCAAACATTAAACTTTTAAGTTAACTTAATGGCCAGAATATATTTATATAGTTAAATGACTATTGGACTTAAATTCTGAGTTTTTGACATTTTTATACAATGACTAAAGTGCAAACATATACCTTGTAATAATGGCTGGAGACGGCTTGAATGGGTAATGAAGAAAAACTTTAATATAAGTTTAACATAACAGCAAATGTACAACGTTTCGACAAGGTTTTGTCATCATGACTTATCAGGGAACCTCGCGAATATTTCAGTGTTTGCTAGACGCCCTCTTTTTTACTATATAAGCCAGCGATAAAGAGATACGTGGACAGATTGACGATAGAGATAACTGAGTCAAGCGAACAGTAAGCACCATAAGTAAAGTGTGTGAATCGCTGTGAATTATAGCGTGTGTTTATAAAAGTAGTTAAGTTAAAGTGACTGTGGAAATTCTGTGTATTGCAAAGTTGTATCGTGAAAGAATAAACTAGTTTTATTTAAGAAAGGACTTGTATCATGGAAGTTCCTCCGAAAGAATTTATACCGGAAATTAACAAACGAACAGAGATGTAACAAATTGGTGTCAGAGAGTGGGACTGAAAAGAAATAAAAAAAATGGAAACTAAAAATGGCAAATCAAATTACAGCTTAGCAGATTTGATGGCAGCAATACAAGAACAGCAAAAGAAACAAGAAGAACGAGAAAAGAAACAATAAGAAGGAGAAAAGAAACAAGAGAGATTACAGCAGTTGTTGGAGGAAAAAGAAAAGAAACAATATGAACGAGAAGAGAAACAAGAAGAGAGATTACAGCAGTTGTTGGAGGAAAAAGAATAGAAACAAGAAGAACGAGAAAAGAAACAAGAAGAGAGGCTACAGCAGTGGTTGGAGGAGAAAGAAAATAAGCAAGAAGTGAGACTACAGTAGTGGTTGGAGGAGAAAGAAATAAACAAGAAGAAAGTCTAC